TTGCACATCACAAACTTTCTGTATGTGACATCTCTTTCTTTACGGTTCAATCCTTTCGAGCGTAGAACAGGTCCAAGTAAAGAAAGTCTTCCTATGTGTGTGTAAAAGAAAGAAAGAAGATCGAGTGATCTTGTTTTTCAGGGTCTGCCGCTGCTCTTCAGAAATGAGGGTCAGAGATCTTCTCCTTTCATACAAGGGTTTGATTATGATTTTATATGATGTAGAGGAATTAATCCTCGCCCTTGGATTAGATGGGATGGGTGGCTAGGATTTAAAAGTGGATATGGGGCGGGTCAAGGGTTCTGGGTTGAGGGAGTTGGGCTAAGATGGCTTTGGGGTTTTGGGCTAAGATTTTGGACTTCAACTCTTAAAGTCCAACAACTACGAAACTTAGTAATTTAAAAAATACTATTAGATATAAAATTAATTCCAATTAATTAAGGCAAACTATATGAAACTATTTTTTGTATTTTTCAATTTTGTGCTTTAAAAATAGAATTAAAATTAATAATAATGTAAAATCCTATAGAAATAAGCGCAAATGAATATTCTAAAAATACTAAGACTATTAAAGATAATTCTAATGTGCGAGTCAAAAATTACGTGCTTACAGAGACAGTTAGTACATTCCTTAGAGCTTGTGGCTTGTGATTATCGGATTCTGGGAGTTTTTTATACTCGGAGTTGTTGATTTTTCTTGTACATGCGGAGCAACAGTTTTCAGTTACATATATATCTGTTGAAGTTTAGTTGTTATTTCAGTTATTATTTCAGTTATTCTGCAATTGTTAGGCTTACCTAGTCTTAGAGACTAGGTGCCGTTGCAACATCTTATGGAGGAAAATCTGGGCCGTGACAGAATAGTTCAACTCATTAATTTAAAATTGATAGATATTCAAACAATATAAAAAATATTTTAAGTTGTAATTTTTCTCATGTCAATATAATTAAAAAATTATGTTTCAAAATGTTAGTCAAACTATAGACAGTTTAAATATCGAAGTGAAATGTTTTATATAAATTGGGTAAGTTCCAAAATTTTGATATTTTTAGCCAATTGTGTAGTTTGCATCGTAAGATATTTGTGTTGGCACTTGCTTTGTTAAATGGTTATCTAACTTTATTAAATTTTATGTAACTTTGTTTTCAATATGTTTGAATACCGTGCATGCTAAAAAAATAGTGTTTAATCTAACAACTAACTAATCCGTATATTACATAAGAGAGCTACTATTATATAAGACAGTTTGGCCGAGTGGTCTAAGGCGCCAGATTTAGGCTCTAGTCCGAAAGGGCGTGGGATCAAATCCCACAGATGTCATTACTTTTACTTTCTGAAAAAAGCCCAACTTAGGTTTTAATCCCTATATCCTAACAATGGCGTAGAAAGAAAAAGAGTTTCAGAGCTTTTAAGCAATACTAGGATGCGTCCCTGTCCCTGGGGCCTTATCAGGCGGATAATTATGCTTAACAATTCGACTTATCGGTTATCGGATTATAAATATAGTAATCTCTTTTATCATTTCAACTTACCATTCATAGTCCTCAATACATTATCAATGAAGACTTTTCATGGAGTTATACACAGAACAATCTCTGGAACAAATTTTATGAATACTCATTGAACACTTGTCATAGAGGTCATTACTTTCTCTAGAAGAAATCAACTACATAAAGAAGATACACATATTGTATCACGGCCCAAAATCCATCAAAGGCTGTGATGATGCCGGACACCTCGGTCAAGCAAGCCAACATTGAGTAATTAATTAAACTCTCATTTAATATTTTAGGAACCACAATTTCCTTTAATTTACTTAGTAAAAAGGTAATCATCACTGAGTAAATAAAAATGTTTACAACTTTTAATATTAAATATCCCATAATCATCCCAGAACCCGGTGTCACAAGTGCATGAGCAATCACTAGGAAATCAAATAAAGTACAATAACTGTTTGGAATACAGGTTGGACAGAAAGAGACTATGCTGGCTGTGGGACGCTTGAGAGATGCAGCTCACCTATGTCTTCGTATCATCCATGCTGCTACGCCCATTAGGCCGTTAAAGGTACATGTGCCTGTGCAACAAAAATACACAGCAAGTGTAGCATGAGTACAAAAATAACGTGTACTCAGTAAGTATCCCTTCTAATCTCGAAGAAGTAGAGATGAGAGGTCAACTTGACACTTACCAGTGGTCCAATGATAATATACCAATAATTTAGTAAATCGAGAATTTTCATAAAAATGACTGTAACTCAAACAGTGTAACGACCCGGCCGGTCGTTTTGAGAATTTATGCCCCGATCCCCTAATAACTGCTCCCCCCATGTTTATTTATGCTATTGTGGGTTGCCGGGAAGATTCGCTTTGAGTTTCAGAGTGTTTTGGGACACTTAGTCCCTAAATGAGAGCTTAAGCTTTAGAATTGGGACCGTATTCGGATTGTGTTTTGGAGGTCCGTAGCTTATTTAGGCTTGAAATGCCGAAAGTTGAATTTTTGAAGTTTCCGGATCGTTAATGAAATTTTGATATCGGGGTCGGAATCCGGTTCCGAAAGTTGGAGTTGTTACGTAGTATTGAATGTGACTTGTGTGCAAAATTTGGGGTCAATCGAACTTGGTTTGGTTGGTTTTGTCATCGGATGTAGAATTCTTAAGATTTCAAGTTCATTATGCTTGGATTGGAGGGTCAATCGCGGTTTTAGTGTTGTTTTATGCGATTTAAGGATTGGACTGAGTTCATATGATGTTTTAGGATTGGTTGGCATGTTTGGTTGAGGTCCCATGGGGCTCGGGTGTGTTTCGGATGCTCAACAGGACATTTTTGGACTTAGGAATGCAGCAGATTTTGCTGGTTTTTCTGTTGCAGGCAATTGGCCTTCGCGTTCGCGACGGGGAGTCGCGTTCGTGAAGGCTGGCCAGTGGAACCATCGCGAATGCGAGAAAGCTAAGCGCGTTCGCGAAGAGGAAAGACGGAGCAGTTGGGGACCCCAGGAAATTTCTCTACGCGTTCGCGAGTGTAGGGTCACATTCGCGAAGGTCCGGGAGCTGAAGCTACGCGTTCGCGAGTGGACCCTCGCGTTCGCGAAGAAGGAAAAATTGGCTAGAGATTTTTGTGCATCGCGTTCGCGATAGTTGTCTCGCATTCGCGAAGAATAACGCGTCTGGGCAGTACTTAAATTCCAAAATCGAGGGTTTGAGTTCGTAACTCAAAAATTGGATTGAGAGCTCGGTAGGAGATGAAATTTGGAGAGATTTTCGGAGGAAGTTTGTGGGTAATTATTCCTAACTCCTTTTTGGTTATATCCCTTTAATCTAAACATGAATTTATCATCTAATTTCGGATTTAGGGTGGAAATTGGGAAAATTTGAGAAACGTTCTTAGGCCTAATTTTGGGATTTTGATCGAGATTTTGGTATCGGATTTGAGTGAATTTGGTATGGTTTTTAGACTCGTGAGTGAATGCGTGTTCATAATTTATGACTTTTACACGATTCCGAGACGTGGGCTCGGGGAAGATTTTTGGGCGTTCTTGTATTTTCTTGTCATAGCTTCGATTTCTTTATCTAAATTAGTTGTTTGTAGTTGTATTTATGTTATGATATTGATTTGATTAGATTTGGGCCACTCGAAGTTGGATACTCGTGGAAAGAGCGTGATTTCAGATTGATTTTGAGCGGTTCGAGGTAAGTGGCTTGCCTAACCTTGTGTGGGGGAACTCCCCTTAGGATTTGGTACTGTTGTTGTTATATGAATGCCGTGTACGTGAGGTGACGAGTACGTACACGTGCTAATTGTTGGAAACCTCGTTTTCACTAAGTAAATAATTGTGTTTCGTTCCTGCCTATTGCACCCATTGTAGACACCTAGGTCATTCAGAATTCACTTGTGAAATCAGGTTGCAAGAAGAAGAAAGAAAGAGGAAAAAAAGGAAGAAAACAAGGCAACCAGCTCCAATCATAAAGAGAATCCAAACAACAGCAATGAGGCAGGGACATCCAGTCAACAACAAAGAGGAATGCAACAGAGTGGGCAAAATTCTCAAAAAGCAGCACCAAAAGAAAAGCAACAGGAAATGGAACACCAAATTAGTGCAGAACACCAACACAAGAGCACTGAAATACCAAAGGATAACTGGCAAACACAAAAAAGAAAAAACTTCAAAGGCAATTCTAACAACACCAAAAAGCAGCAGCAGATTTATATGCCAAGAACTAATGCAGGATAGCAGTCGCAGGAAATAGCCAAACCAATGACCAATGCTCACAATGACCAAACAGGTATACTTCCTACCTCTCAAAGTCCTACTGTTGTGGTGAACTCTGGTTCTGTTGCTCAGAACATAGTATCCCAATCCCCCAATCCCTATGATGTTATAAATGTTGATGAAGTTGAAGGAGGAAAGGGAGAATGTCAGGGAAAACCAGTAGAGAAACATGTAGGGGTTCCAAAGGGGGTGGGTGTTCCTCATGTTTTGCATGAGTGTGCAAAAGCACAGTTGACTGACCAAAGGAATGACCAGCCAACTCCTGCTACCACATTCTCTAACGCAAATGAACAAAGGTCTCCTGTTGAATCTGATGAATGTACTGAGGTTGTAGACAAAGATCTTGAGGACCATATGAGAACTCTTCTGAAAGGGAAAGCTCATGCTCAGGCCGATTTCCACATTCAGCCACAGAAACCAAGAAATAAGCTCAGTCAGAAAAAGAGAAGAGCATTAAAAAAATAGAACTTTGGGATAGTTATCAAAGAGCCATCAGACCCCTCTGATGGCAATCAGTTTTTGAGTCCTGTTATCCAAAAAAGCTAGAATCCAGGGGTTACAGAGGATGATATCTCAGCACACAAATCCACTGAAATAGCCAATCCCTCACTACCCCAACCCCTCCTTTCTCACAAAGATCAAAGCTATGACTTTGAGCACCCAACTAGTGAATCAACTCCCACCCCTGTCAATAATCCAAAAATTGCTCCCACACCTACACCCTCTGGAAATGGCCCTGGAACAATGTCCCCTCAATAAATACTCTTCCCAAGAAGATGAATATATGCCCATCCAATCTGAGGATGAGATGGGAGAGCAACAAAAGGAGGACATTGATAAAACTGATGAAGAAGCAGAAACAGAGCAACACTGTGGTCTCCTGATTGCTGCAGTCAATGGTGTTGATAATCAGACAAATAGTGCATCTGCAAGAAAATCTCTCCAAATGAGAATTTCCCCCAGGTTAATAAGAAGTAAAGCTGTTAGAAGTAGCAGTGTCCCACCAAAAAACAAATCAACCCCTTCTTTCCAATGATTAGTACAATCATATGGAATGCAAGAGGCATTAGGACTTCTGGAGCCATTGAGAGACTCAGAATCCTAAAACAAATTGACAACCTTTCATTTATAGCTGTCCTTGAACCAATTCTGCACCATGCTGACCACTCCCATATCAACCAATTCCAACTCCAACTCTCCATGGACCATTCTGCTTCAAACATCAATAACAAAATCTAGGTTTTCTGGGACAAGGATTTCACAGCTAAAGTCTTAGACCATGATGAACAACAGTTATCCCTTGAGATGAGACATGTGGTTGATGATAACACCTTCTATGTCACTGTCATATATGCCAAATGCAAGCTTGCTATGAGAAGACCACTTTGGGACATCTTGAGACACAAATCAACCAATTACACTTATCCATGGTGTGTAATAGGGGATTTCAATGTCATTGCATCTGTTAAAGAAAAAATAGGTGGTCTCCCATATCAAATGAGTAAAAGTTTGGATTTCCTGAGTATGATGGAAGAATGTGGTCTAGTTGACCTTGGTTATTATGGACCTAAATACACCTGGTCCAATGGAAGAGGTCCATGTTCTATAGTCTAGAAGAGGCTTGATAGAGGTCTGGTAAATGATCAATGGCTCTCTACATTTCTAGCTACCACTATCACCCACCTTACATCTACTAGCTCAGATCATAATCCACTCTTTATGGAGATCAATAAAAGACAAGATTTTGCCAAGAAGTATTTCAAATTCCTAAATTGTTGGGTCAAAAATGAGAAATTCCTGCCACTGGTGAAAGAAATCTAGGAAAAAGAAGTTCAGGGAAAGCCTATGTGGGTCTTTCATCAGAAACTCAAATCTGTGAGCAGTGCCACTGAGTAAATGGTCAAGGGAAGAATATGGGGACATTTTCCAAAAAGCCAGGGAATATGAACAACAAGTCAAAAATGCTGAAATGGTTTGGGCAAACACTAATGATGAAACTGACAGAATTAATCTTCATGAGACCAAAGCAAATTACATCAGATACCTGAAGCTGGAAGAAAGCATTCTGAAGCAAAAAACTCAGCTTCAATGGTTCAAGGAGGGAGATGCTAATTCAAAGTACTTCCACAGCCTCATTAGGGGAAGGAGAAGGAAACTATTCATTCACAAAATCAAGAATGCAGAGGGTACTTGGGTTCATGGGGACAATGCTATTGGGGATGCTGCCTGTGATTATTTTCAAGAATTATTTTCAGAACCAGGGGGCCACATTAGAGAGCACCTTCTTTCATGTATCCCCTCCTTGATAACCCCAGAAGACAACACCTGTCTCACTACTGATCCCACTTTGGCTGAACTCAAAGAAGTGGTTTTTTCAATGAGTCCCACAAGTGCTGCTGGTCCAGATGGTATGAATGGTAAATTCTACCAAGCATGCTGGGACATTATTAAAACTGACATTTTGAATGTGGTTCTGGATTTCTTTGGAGGGAGCTCAATGCCCAAATACATGACTAATGCTTGTATAGTCATGCTTCTAAGTGGAATTCCCCAACTCTCTAACAGAATTCAGACCAATCAGTTTAAGCAACTTCATCAACAAAGTAATCTCCAAAGTCATTTCTTCAAGATTGACACCTATTCTTCCTAGAGTCATCTCAGACAACAAATCAAGTTTTGTAAAAGGAAGAAACATCTCAGAAAACATCATGTTAGCACAGGAAATTGTCCATGGGATCAAGAAACCAAATGCTGGATCTAATGTAGTTATCAAACTTGATATGGCCAAAGCTTATGACAGAGTATCCTGGGCCTACACTTGCATTATGATGAGGAGGATGGGTTTTAATGAGATGGTCATTGATATGATTTGGAGGACATTGTCTAATAACTGGTATTCTGTCATTATAAATGGCCTCAGATGTGGTTTTTTCCAGTCCTCTAGAGGTTTGAAACAAGGAGATCCCTTGGCTCCTTCCCTCTTCATACTAGGGGCAGAATTGCTTTCCAGAATGCTCAACATGCTTACCAATGATCAGTTCTTCAATGGGTTTTATATGCAGAGAAGAGGCCCCCAGAGCAATCATCTCAGCTTTGCAGATGATATCATTATTTTCTCATCAGGAAGCAGATCATCTCTGAGAAGGATCATGTGGATTCTGAAAACATATGAAGACATTTCAGGGCAACAAATCAACAAGAGCAAAAGTCACTTCATGACAGCAGCTTGTGTTAGGCAGTCTACTGTGAGAAGAATCCACCCTCTCACTGGTTTCACAAGAAAAGCCTCACCCTTAACCTATTTGGGATGTCCTCTGTACACAGGAAGGCTTAGAATTTCTCACTTCAATAATCTCATTGCTAAAGTGGTGGGGAGAATTAAAGGGTGGCATGGGAAGATGCTTTCATATGGAGGAAGGGCAACTCTAATCAAATATGTTCTACAATCCTTACCTATTCACCTTCTGTCAGCCATTTCCCCTCCTAAAACAGTCATGAAGCAGATTGAGAGGCTGATGGCTAATTTTTTTTGGGGCATGGAAAAGGACAAACTCAAGAACCACTGGGCCTCTTGGCATAAACTATCCTATCCTGTCAATGAGGGAGGAATTGGTTTCAAATCAATTGCTGAAGTATGCAAAGCTATGGAGTTTAAGCAATGGTGGCGCTTTAGAACCAATGATTCCCTTTGGAGTTCCTTCCTTAAGGCCAAATACTGTCAAAGATCCCATCCCATCAAAAGAAATTGGGAATCTGGGCAATCCCAAGCTTGGAAGAGGATGATGTACAACAAGAAAGATGCTGAGAAGGCTATTATCTGGAGGCTCCATTCTGGCTCTAGCAGTTTCTGGTGGGACAACTGGCTAGGAGATGGCCCTTTGGCTCTCCAAAGAACTACAGGAGGCAGACCTGGCAAGTTAACTGTATCCTATTTCTGGGAAGGTGATCAATGGAACCTTCAGAAGCTCAATGAAATAGCCCCTCCCCTTAAAATCCCTCAGATCATTCAAACCACCATTCATTTTAGCCCCAATACCCCTGATAAAGCCATATGGAAACCAACCACAACAGGGAAATTCACCTGTGCTTCTGCTTGGGAACTACTGAGAATAAAAAGACAACCCAATTTATCCAATAGAATGACTTGGCACAAGAAAATTCCCTTCAAATGGTCCTTTTGCTTATGGAGAGCTTTAAGGAATAAACTTCCAACTGATGACAGGGTCCTCATGTTCAGCAACCCAACAGTCTCTAGGTGTGTATGTTGCTCCACCTATGCTAATGAAACAGTCGAGCACATTTTCAGTTTGGGAAACTTTGCAAGGACTGTTTGGAAAAAATATGGGAGCATTGCAGGCATACACACAGAAGACATACCTCTGAGAATGCTGCTAATACAATGGTGGATTCACAAGAGTCATAATTCTATCCACAGATTGACCCTAGACACCATGCCTATAATTATTTCCTGGAATCTATGGAAAAATAGGTGCAGTGCTAGATATGGATCAAAACTGTCATCTCTTACCAGGGTCCTCTTTGCAATTAATTCAGACATCAACCTGCTCTTGAGAGCAAACTACCCTGAAATCAAATGGCCTACCAAATGGATCCAATTGTACCCCCTCCTTGAGCAGATCAGTCACATGACCTCTTGTTCCCGAGTCATCTGGACCAGACCTCTTGCTCCCTATGTGAAGATCAACAGTGATGAGAGTGCTTTAAATAATCCAGGAAGGATAGGAGCTGGAGTGATTATCAAGGGACAATCTAGTGAATTTATTCATGCCATTGCAGCTCCTCTGGGAGAGGGTACCAATAACCTTGCTGAAACTGAAGCTGCTATCCTAGGCATCCAACGGTGGCTATCCAATGGCTTCACCAGCATTCACCTAGAATCTGATTCTGCTCTGCTAATCCAATGGCTAAACAACAAAAGTGAACCCCCATGGCCTCTTCACATGAAACTGCTACACTTAAAGAATCTGTGCTCCCAATGTGAAAATTTCATGTCCACTCATGTCTATAGAGAGGCCAATTGTCCAGATGACTCCCTCTCTAAGCTTAGCCATGAACTCCCCAGCCTTACCAGCTTTAACAGCCTTTCTTCTCTTCTTAACCATATCAGGGGACAGGTATATCAAGACTCCATAGACACCCCTGCTTTCAGGCATAGGAAATCCACTAAAATCAGACTACCCTCCAATCATGCAGCCTCTACTTCCTCCTATAACTCTTCTTCACATGGCTATGGATGAATCCTTCCTCATACTGAGAGCCCTAAAAACAGTCCACCTTCCCTCCAAAAAACACACACCCAAGCACCACAATGACCAGAAATCCCACAGTACAAAAGGAATGTCACTCCCACAGTCACAACAAAAACAGAGCAAAGGGCAAATGTGCCCAGTTTTCTACTAATGTTTGTTTCCCGTTTGCAGGTTTCTATCCTAGAATCCACAAGAACCTAGGTTCAACCCTTCCCATATGGCCCCCCTTACATCCTCTTGAGAACCTAGGAAACTACAGAGCCAAAGAAATCTCCTCCCCTGTATCTGTAGGCTCCATCCACACTCCCAAAAAACAAGCAGCAACTCCTAATACAAAAAATACAGAAATTATTTCTCCTGCAACCTGTAGTATCAGGAAATCAACCACAACCAACCTTCCCTGCTTCCCCCTCCACAATTGTCTAATTGCTGAATATCCTTCTGAATTTAGCAACAACCAAACACCATACTGTAGTTCACACAAGAACCTGACAGTATGCAGCCCCCTGTTGTATCTAACTATGTTTCTTGTTTTGCAGGTGTTCTCTTTCTACGCTCAAGTGTTATGTCTTCTAGGAGTGGTATTGGTATCATTGATGCCCATTCTCCCAGAATCATACCACTTGAGCATGTGGCATCACCTCACCAGAAACATCTCCTCACAGATGCATCAGGAACTGCAGAAAGCAGCATCTTTAGCCGAAGAAAGCAGATGCAGGAACTCAGCAACTACAGCTGCAGATTATGCAGAGTGTGATTCCTGCATCTTTGCCATACTTGTGCAGTCTTACCTCTCCTCTCAAGATTGCCATTGTGGTCAACAATCCCACCAATACCACCCTCCCACCAGAGAACAAAAACACTAGTTGCAGCCAACACAAGAACCTGCAACCAGTTCCTTTTCATCAATCAGGGGTCACAATTTCCCCCTATCCCCAGACTCATACCCAGTCCACACAAGAACCTGGAAAATGAGCCCCCCCTCTCTCTAACTTGTTTGCTAATATTTGCAGGTACAAGGTGCAGAATTGGGCAAAATGTGCCTTTTCAAGCAGTGGTATCGGCACCCATGGTGCTCATTCTGATGGAAATGCACAGTTTGCCACAGTTCGCACTCACTCACCAATGCTGTCTACAGAATACTCACACACAGGACTGCCTCACCCTTGGATGCCAGTCACTTTTGCACCAGCATGTCAATTCCTTGAGCAAATTCCAACAGTGCTATAGGAATTCACACCTTACAGGCAACAACTCTCACTTCAAGCATACTGTAATTTCTGAAACATACAGATGCTCACTTCCTTCTGTCATCAGCATGGAGCAGCCTCCCAGATGTCCACTTCTCAGGCCTCTTTTGCCACCTATCTTCACCTTAGCTTTCTTTGCTTTCAATGTCAAAGCAAGGTTGAAGATGGTCCCTTATAAACATACTTGTTTTTTGCCACCTCTAAGGGATTTCTGCATTTTTACTAAATGTAGATTTGTTTGTATATGGAAGTTATTCTTCCAACTCAAACCTTTGGTAGAATTAGGTTTCTTGTGCAGTTTTTGTATAGTTGGCCTAGATTTACTTCACTCTGATTTTGTATACCCAATTGACTATCATTAGTTGATAGTCAATTGGATCATCATTATAGGTCTAACTCACCACAGTTTTCAGGTTCTACCTGGTCAATGTCTACATGAACAGGTGCCTTTGTACTATATCTTTGGAGGTCAGGTCTATGCCCCCCTCCAATGTTGTATCTTGTTTAGTTTTTATAAAATCAGCCCTAGGCACAATGCCTAGTGGATTATATAAAAAAAAAGCTTCTAGCTGATAATCATTTTTCCAAATCAATTCCGAATAACCTGAAATCCAAAATCGACGATTCACATAAGTAATAATACTTCATACGGAGCTACTCATACCCTCAAACAACCGAGCGAAGTGCCAATTCTCAAAATGATCAGTCGGGTCGTTACAGCTTGAAAGTGATATTTTTAGGCCATATCTAAACTATAACGATAGTGTAGGAGCTCACAAGCCATGTAATGGATGATATCTTCCTTTCTTTAAAGTAAGGAACAATCTTTACACAACTATGATTTATTATACTTATAACTGAATTTCTCTCACTGTGTCACGACCCGGAATTCTCACCTTCGGGACCGTGATGGCGCCTAACATTTCACTTGCTAGGCAAGCCAACATTAGAGAACCGTTACGTCAATTTTCATTCAATTTCAATAAATAAAGTCGATTAGCTGAGTGCGGAATAACATAAATGTCCAATATCTACTACAATACAAATTTGGAGTCACAACTCCCGAGCTTCTATAGTTTACTACAAACAGAGTCTGAAAGAAGTACAATTGTTTGAACGAAAAGAAACAGTAAAATAGGAAAAATAGAAGGGGACTTCAAGGTCTGCGGACGCCAGCAGATCTACCTCGAGTCTCCGAATGAGCAAATCCAAGCTTCAACAACTCACGAACAGCTAGGTCCAGTACCAAAATCTACACAAGAAGTGCAAAGTGTAGTATGAGTACAACCGACCCCATATACTTGTAAGTGTCGAGCCTAACCTCGACGAAGTAGTGACAAGGCTATGACAAGAAACCTACATGATAAACCTGCACATATAATAGTATATGTACAAGATAACAACAAATAAGAGCTAAACATGGACTATTGGGAGGGGACATGCTAAAGGGGATACATGATACAAGAGATACAACGCAATTGATAACCAAAACAGTCAATATGCCTTTAACCAGTAAAAACAATTAAGCACAATGAAGAAAATTGCACGGCATCAACCTTCGCGCTTTTACTCTCAACCTCACAATGATAATGCACGGTATCACCCTTCATGCTTTTACTCTCACTCACAGTATGGATCAATAGATACGGCACGACATCACTCTTCGTGCATTAACTCTCATAATATGGCACGACATCACCCTCATGCATTAACACTCACAATATAGCACGGTATCACCGTTCGTGCATTAACACTCACAATATGGCACGACATCACCCTTCGTGCTTTAACACTCTCCCTTACCACATAACAATGAACAAGTAATAACAGGGAGATATGATCAACAAGAATAAGTCTTACTTCAACAATGGGTCCACAATAACTATAACGACCCGATCGGTCGTTTTGAGCTTTTGTACTTCGGTCGCCAGTTCTCGGGCATGTCTAGCACCGCATTATGCATTATGACTTATGTAAATTGTTGGTTTTGGTTTCAGGGTAATCGGAATGAATTTGGAAGAACAGTTCTCAGTTTGAAGCTTGAAATTTGAAAGGTTTGACCAAGTCTTGACTTGTTTGTAAATGACCTCGGATTGGAATTTTTATGATTTGGTTAGCTCTGTTAGGTGATTTATGACTTAGGAGCGTGATCGGAAGGTGTTTTGGAGGTACGGAGTAGAATTAGGCTTGAATTGGCGAAATTGAGTTGTTGGCGTTTCCGGTTGATAGGTGAGATTTTGATATAGGGGTCGAAATGGAATTCCAGAAGTTGCAGTAGCTCCGTTGTATCATTTCTGACGTGTGTGCAAAATTTCAGATCTTTCGGACGTGGTTTGGTTGGGTTTTTGATCAAAAGCGTAATTCGGAAGAATTTAGAAACTTAGGCTTGAATCCGATGTGTTTTGGTTGATTCGATGTTGTTTGAAGTGTTTCGAAGATTTGTATAAGTTCGAATAAGGTTATGGGATATGTTTGTGCTTTTGGTTGAGGTCCCTGGGGCCTCGGGATGTTTCGGATAGTTATCGGGAAGTCGGACTTGGAGTTTTGCAGCAGAAAATTTGCTGCCTCTGTTGTTTCCGCACCTGCGGATTGGTGACCGCAGGTGTGATGCCGCTGGTGCGTAAAGGAGACTGCAAAAGCGGTGCTGGCCGCAGAAGCGGAGACTTTGACCGCATATGCGGGACTGCAGGTGCGGTACCTGGGTCGCAAATGCGGAATCTGAAGGAGTAAGTGAAATCCGCAGAAGCGGGTGTTTTTCCGCAGAAGCGGAAGCGCAGGTGCGCTTATGGGATCGCAGGTGCGGAAGTGCTGGGCAGAATGTATAAAAATGCCCATTCGCGATTTTCAGTCATTTGTTCACCATTTTTGTGCGATTTTGGAGCTCCAAGCTGTGATTTCAAGAGGGGATCAAGTGTTTCCGTAGAGGTAAGCTACTTGGGCCTTATACCTTGTGTTTATGGTGATTATTCCATTGTTTAATCATGAAAATTAGTGGAAAAATTAGAGGAAGAGTTGGGAAAATAGGGCTTGAAATTGGAGAGTGGATTTTGAGAATTTGAGTGACCATATGAGGTCGGATTTTGGTAAATTTGATATGTATGAAGTCGTAAGAGGATGAGGATTCCACTGATATTAATTTTGTCGGATTCCGAGACAGGGGCCCGGGGGGGGGGGGGGGGGTTGAGCAATTTCGGGATTTTTGATGTTTTTCGATTCTTTTCGAATGGGCTTAATCCCTTTAGCATAAATTAATGGTTACGTTCTGATTTTTGTCTGATTCGGAGCATCCGGAGATCGATTTCGAAGGGCAAGGGCATTGCAAGCTAAACTTCGGGCCGGATTGAGGTGAGTAATGATTTTAAATGCTGTCCTGAGGGTATGAAACCCCAGAATTTTATAGCCTTCGGCTATGTTGAGGTGACACACACGCTAGATGACGGGCGTGGGGTCGTGTACCATTGGGGATTGTGACTTAGTCCTTCCCGAATGACTGTTTTACTACATATTTGATAGCTAATTGTTTGATATTATTTTGTTTTAGGCTAAATGCCATATGTGGGCTTCGTGCCAACTATTTGAACCCTTAGGGAATTTTAAATAATATTTTCCTCACTGTTTGATTTCATACTGGTGCTCAGTCATGCTATATTTTCACTATTTTAAGAACTCAGCTATGTTATTTTTGTATTAAAAACATTAATTGATATTTTCAAAGATATTTTGAGCTGAACTTCATATTTTACTATTGCCCGAGGGGCTTATGAGATTCTGACTGAGTAAGGCCGAAGGCCTGTATTGTGAGGATACTTTTGGGTCGAACTGCACGCCGCAACAGTGATATACTGATTATGATAATGAGGCCGAGGGCCTGAGATTGTACGCCACGAGGTGGCTTGTGATTATGCTAATGAGGCCGAGGGCCTGAGATTGTACGCCACGAGGTGGCTTGAGATTGATATGAGGCCGAGAGCCTGTTTATGATGCCACGAGATGGCTTGATATTGCTCTTGGGCCGTAAGGGGCCCCTCCCGGAGTCTGTAATTGTGATATGAGATATAGCCCGAGGGGCTGATTCTGTTGTTACTGTGCCCGAGGAGCAGTTATTATGTGTTTACCTTTTTAGTTATTTTTCCCGTATATTGTTTAACTGTTTAAAGGATGATTATGAGATTTCACTGCTTAATTATATTCACTGATCTTATTATGCCCCTTTTAGCTTAATGTTGTGCCTTACGTGATTTTATATCGCTCAGTCTTCATTTATTTATATTTCTCACTGAGTTGGAGTACTCACTTTACTCCATGCACCCCTGTGTGCAGATTCGGGTGCTACAGGTCCTGCTCCAGAGGGTTGATAGTTCCAGCAGGTCTTGGGAGATTTACTAGGTAGCTGCTTGGCGATTCGCAGCCAGTGCATTCTCCCTCTATCTTAGTTCTTTTTGATTCAGTTATGTAGTAATGGATTAGACTTCAAACTTCTAGTATTATTTTAGATGCTCATGACTTGTGACACCCCAATGTCGGGCTGTGTTGGTTATTAATTCCGCAACTTTTACTGTTATTTTGGGATTTCATTTCTATTAAAGACTTGGTATTTATTATTTTAACTGCTTAAAGTGAATGGAAAATATGTTGGCTGGCCTTGTCTTCACGAGAGGCGCCATCACGACCGGGTTTGGGTTTAGGGTCGTGATAGTTGGTATCAGACCCTAGGTTACATAGGTCTCGCGAGTCATTAGCAGGTTTAGTAGAGTCTCGCGGATCGGTACGGAGACGTCTATACTTATCCTCGGGAGGCTGCAGAACCTTTAGGAAAAACTTCACATTCTTGAACTCTTATCGTGCGTCCTTGATTCAGCTTGAAATATAACTTTTTGAATTCCTTCCACGCATTCGTATGCGTGAACGAGCGCTCAGTATTAGATGTGCATCGATCGCTTGTGATTGTTTGATTGAGGGGTGAGATGTGATCTCTGTGTG